GCATTCCGCTCGTTAGCGCGGGGCGAAAGGCCGCGCAGCCAATAGAAACAAAGTTTCCTCGTCCTGGGGGGCGGGGCGTTAGAATCGACTGGAACACGTGGAAACAGACAGCAGGACCGCGGTGAACACATCACGAGCTGTGTTTGTGCAGCAGAAAGAGTCGAAGGCCTTTGTTTCAGCTGCTTTGTCTTTGAGTCAAGAACATTTTCTGACTGATGGTCCCTGAGAACACGGTTTTAATGCAGTTTAACGTTTAATAACTGGACATTTTATACATGAAGATACACAATTCGTATTGTGTTGTTTAATTACAACTTTTTTTATACTATAAATATAGCCAGTCACAGTCAGACAAACTGTGCTAATTGTTGTAGTTTTATGACACACTGCTGCTGTAATGTAGACCACAGAGTTACTACAGAGAACTATATTTTGTTAAATATATTATTGCTATTATAAACATTTCAATGACATAAGAGACAGAACAGAATAAATAAACGTGGAAACAAGAAAACCAAATGTTTAAAAAAAAACATTTATTTTTCTTTCTGCTGACAGTTAGCCTTAGCCTCGTCCCCAACGACTTCCTATAATTCATTAAATACAATTCAAAGTGCCTTTTCATGGGTAGAGGAGCGGGGTAACACAGCCTGTGTGCTTCAGATATGTAACGACAGCAAAAAAAGAAATAAAAATAAAATAATACTGACAGGCACTTCAGTCACTTGAGGTCACTACAGGAAATTCAAATCCAAACAAACAGCATCATAGACTGGTCTTTCAAGGCAGGAGAGTGAGGTGTGGGCGCCACACACGGTGCCGCGCCCCAGCCTTTGGCTCTGTGGGGGTAACTAATGCAGAACACTGTCTGGTTTGGGGTAACCAAACAGCTCAAAGTCTGGTTGATAAAGCTTGTACAGTTCTCTCCTCATTGTTAGAGGAATCTGTGAGAACCAGTCTCTTTCCCAGCTGGCCGCTGTTCGGTTTCGGGCTCCTGAAGGAAAGTGGAGTAAATGGTCCACGTCCAGGAGCTTCAGCAGGTGATCGGCGTCGCTCTCTAGGGTTTCCAGTCGTCCAATGAAGTCGTACTTGACTTGGCATGGATGGCACAGACGGTATATCTGAAACACAACAACAACAACAACCAAACTCAGTTAGCCTCTGGGGAGTTTGAGTTTTATAACTCCGTCCTTGGAAACTCAACCTGTCTCCAGTGTTCATTGAAGATATTCTCCTTCTCCGTCTCAGGGTCCAGCAGGTAGCTGACAAACTGCTGAAACGTAGGTTTGATTCCAGCAGCGAACGCCTGCGCTGCCTTTTCAGGCAAACTCTCCGAGATGTTACCGTAACGACGCAGCATGACGGAACCAAACTGCTTGTAGAAGTCCTCGTTTGGTCTGGAAACACACACAGAGCAGCAGGTTTCATTGGACGAAGAACTCGTTATGTTGTGTACACACACACACACACCTTCCAAACTTGTTCCTGAAGGCAGAGATGAGACGCACAAACGGATCTCGGACAAACAGGAACTTGGTGTAGTGTTGGAGCTTGAGCGCCATCAGGTGGCGGGACAGAGAACCGTAGTGACGCCAGAACCTGGTGGAAAACATTGAGGTAAGTCAGATTGAGGAAGTTTCTTTAAAGTGTTTGAAAATTAGAGCTTTTACAATGGAGCAAAATGTATTTAAAAAAAAACTCCTTCTATCCACAGACAGACGGCTCCTCAGAGTGACAGAAAGGTCGGTCTGTGCTGCAGCACCAGGCTCCGCCTCTCTGCTCCAGCCGTCTCTTCCATGTATCAACTCAGTAAATAACTCACAGACAACTTCTCAAACACAGGTTCAGTAGGAGTCTGTTTCTGTTTCTGTTCCTCTCCGTCTTATCACCGTTTAAACTGAATGATCACTGACCAGCTGATCAATAATCTGTTCCTACAAAGTCAGGTCACGTCAGCTGTGTTTGTAAAGTCCAAGAAGACACTGGACTTCAATGAGACAAATTGAACAAAAACAGAATAAAAAAGGGACGTTCCATATTAATGTTTGCCGATATCTGCTAACTAAGGTGATGGGTTAAAGCTCAACATTATCTTATGCCATGCCCCCTAGGGGACAGAAGTATTTTCAGCCCCCCCCCCCAGAGAATTGAAATACTATTGAGCGTGTGGTAATATTTATGTATTTATCTTTATGAGTTGCTGGTACCAATCCCCTGATTATTAAAATAGATGAATCAAATGAGCTGCAATGCTGCCATCTAGTGGCTTTGGCAGTTTCATAAACATGCCATTTTTCTCCAAAACTATTTTTAGAGCACACATCATTTGTTATTGGGTTTTCAGAGGAAAAACTGATAACAATTCTTACAGATATCACATAAATATGCTAATATCAGGTTGATAATATCGGACACCCCATAATCTTAGACCTTTTCTTGTTTTTCAACCCGCTGAACCACTGAGTCACAGACAACACAGACCATGTATTTACACCACAGACATCTACTATCTGATCAGTACAAATGATTGAAGCTCAGAACTGAGTCACGTTTCTGCCCCCAGGTAAACAGTGGTCACAGTTTCTACAATCAACAACAAATATATTGCCCCTGGTTCTGTGAGCGTGTGCGTCGTACTTGGCGAATGTGAGGTAAAGCGTGGCGTTGTGTACGAGGTCTGGGGGTATGGCCTCTGGGTCAGTGTAGGGTTTTCCTGAGGAGGGTGAAATCAAAGCCTGAGACAAGACCACCATCACTCTCTTCCAGTTGGTGCATGCTACCTGAACAAAGAACACAGCAGAGAAGTGAGGGTGGGAGGGGGAAGTTGGGGGGGGGCAGCGGACGTTTGACTCTACGCTCGTCTTCGTGAACCAAAACAACCCACACGACGGCTGACTGTACCTTAGGAACGTAGCAGTAGATGATCTGGTTGGTGTCGTCCACGATCAGGTGATCCAGCTCCCTGTTGGGGATCTGCTCAAACGACCGAGTCCTTCCAGGGAAGTCCAGATCTGAACAAACATCCATGATCCTCTGCTTCCTCTCCTCCTGCTCCACGTCCAGACGACGAGAACTGATCCTTTTCTGCTCCCCTTCTCCTCCCGTCGTCCTCACCTCCCTCTGCTCCTGTCTGTCCTCGACCGCTGCTCCTCCGCCTTTTGTGCTGAAAATCGTGGTAGAAACAGGAAGTGGAGACCTGCTCTGGAGTCCGGCGGTGGATGGAGACGGCGTGGTTGTCCGTGGGCAGGAGGGTGACTGAAGGGGGCAGCGTTTGTGGTCCTGCAGAGGGTAGAGGTTGAAGCCCCCGACGTCGTCCCAGTAGACGATGATGAGCAGGATCATGAAGACGGAGCCCAGTACGAAGGCCACCCTGAGACCACGCCACACACCCATGATTGGAACCGAGCCAGTGATTGGAGAAGAAAAGAGGAAGAGGTTATCTCAGCTCCATGCCGGATGTTGATCACGGAAGGAGACACATCCTGCTCGTTGGCTGCAACTGTGAAAAGAAACAGGAAGTGAAGAAATAATCACTGCCAGAATAAAACAGAAAAGGAACAGAAGCAAAGTGAGACTTTAAATCCCAGTACATGCTCTTTTTACAAATATATAGAGATATAACATGATAATAATAAGAGCTGCACAGAAAAAAAAGCTTTTCAAACACACTGTGTTTGTTTAACACTCAGCCGACAGTTTTTTCTGACCTAAGGGAAGCTGACCCCCCCCACCCCCCACCCCCGGGCCGTGAGGACCCCTGACCTCAGTCCGTGGCGCTC